CATATAAATTTTATGATTTTTTTTTTATTTCTGTGAAGGATGTCATTGATATTTTGTCATAGATTATATGGATAATTGTTTTGGGTAGTATTGCCAATTTAACAATATTAATTCTTCCAATCCATGAACATGGAATATCTTTCCATTTTTTTGTGCCTTCTTCTACTTCTTTCATCATAGTTTTAATCGTCCTTGCATAGATCTTTTACTTCTTTGGTTAGATTAATTCCTAGTCATTTTGTATTTTTTGTAGCTACTGTAAATGGAATTTCTTTCTTGATTTCTTTTTCAGATTGTTCATTGTTGATGTATATAAATGTTACTGATTTTTGTATGTTGATTTTGTACCCTGCAACTTTATGGAGTGGCATTTTTAGAATGCTGCTTATCGCAGGGTGTCTTTTCTGTATAGCTTGGAACATAAATACATGGACATTGGAGCCAGACTTCTCTCATTCAAATCCTGGCCCCAGTATTTATTAGCATTACAAACTTGGGCAAGTTTACTTAACCTCTTAGTTCTTCAATTTTCTTATCTGAAAAATGGGATAATAAACATACGGTTTTTATTAAGTCATTTAAACATTTGTATCAGTTAATGTACCAGAAAAGAATCTGGTACATTGTAAGTAGTATATTGGTATTTATTATTATTATTAATCTCATTATTATAATCTACCAATTTAGAGTTCAGATTACTCATCTCCTTGCAGCAGATCCAAGGAGACTTTTCTGGGCCTCAGCCTTTCTATACATTTTAGTATTATTTAACTGTCAAAAATATAATTTATATCTTAGTCTGTTGGGGCTGCTATATAACAAAATATCATAAACTGAGTGACTTATAAACAACAGAAATTTATTTCTTGTGATTCTGGAGGCTGGGAAGTTTACAATCAAGGCACTGGCAGATTTGATGCCTGGTGAGGGCCCTCTTCTTGGTTCTCAGAAAGTGCCTTCTAGCTGTGTCCTAACAAGATGGAAGGGGCAAGGTAGCTTTTATAAGGGAACTGATAAAAGTCAGGGCCTTTTTTGTAAAGGTATTCATGAGCACTCCACCTTCATGACCTAATCACCTCACAAAATTTCCACTTCCTAATACCATTGCATTGTTGATTAAGTTTCAACACATGTATTTGGGGAGGACACAAACATTCAGATCATAGCAATTTATAATAAAAAGGATACATTTGAAAAAGTTTAAGAGTTTCTAACTCACAGGAAACACCAAAGGATTTGTTTACATGAAAGAAAACTATGCTTAGTTTACAGTGTTTTTTTTTTTTTAAGTGAGCGAAATATAGCAGGTTCATTTGCCTGAATTATAAACTTCAGAATAGAAGTATAGAACCTTTTTTAGTACCATACCCATTTTTAAAATGCCCTTTAATTTCATGTTATGACCAAGAGAAAAAAGGATTTGAAAAGACAGGAACAGGAAGCTTAGGGAAGGACATAGAGGGTAAAAGGAGACTGAAAGAAGGTAGCAGGAATGAGAGGAAAGAAAATAGAGAAAAAGAGAAAGAAACATAAGAAAGAGGAGAGAAAAGAATGCTGAGAGGTAGAGAGGGCAGGTAGGGAGAAAGGAGGGAATGCTGGTAAAATTTATTGAGCACCTGGCATAACTAAGAACTTAGCTTATCTCACCTCAGAACCTTTCAGTGAAGTAGGTATCATTGCCACCATTTTGTAGATTAGAAAACAGCAACTAAAAGAATTTAACTTGTCCAAGGCCAGTTATGTTAATAAACAGACATTAGAACCTACATCTTTCCAGTGCTCATTGTAACATCCTGGCTCCATGTCCTTAAGGACTAATGGTAAGATAAAAAGTACTTCTCACAGCTTGTTGGCACTACCTCAGTGTTCCTGTCATACTGAGAAAAGACTTAGTTGGGCTTAGTTGAGGCTTAGGTGTTACTGTCTCTTAATACTACCTTAGAATCCTAATTATTTGAGTCAAGACATTTGGATTCTAGTTAAAGAGGATCCCCAAAAGATTTATGTCTCAGTATAAGTCACTCTTCTGAGCCACAGTATCCTCCTTTGTAAAATGTAGGCCTTGGACTAGATCAACTGCCAAATTCTGAAAATCAATGCTTAATGTCATGCTGCCAGATTTTCAATCAATTGTTATTCTTGAACTCTTAGATGTCCCCAAGACATTCAAATTCATGGCAGGAAGCAGTGATGTGAGGAACAATCTCAGTGGTAATAGCAAGTATCTATCAAAATGAAGTAGAGACCCAAAAGCTGTCTTCACATATGTAAAAGGCTGTAACGTGGACTGGGGAGTCGGTGCATTTTGTTGCTCTAGTTAGGACCACTGTACAGAATTTTGCACATTGTTCATTGCAAAAACTTAGGAGGCGCTATTCAAACACATAATCATAGGCCATGGCCCTGGCTCCAGGAAGCCAGAATGAGAATCAATAGGTTGAGGTAATAAAAAAGGAAATTATGGCTCAGTAGAAAAATAACAAACTTTGTTATGTTTAGAATTGCCCCTTAATAGTGTGAAAACTAAAGTTTTTAGGGGAGGCCACATGATATAAGAATTCAACCTTTGGATGAGAGTTCAGAGATATATAAGTGACATTCTGGATTGGTTTTAATGTGGTCAAAGCGGGCTGGGTGATCTTGAAGTCATTAAGCCTTAATTTCTTGAGTTCATATTATTATGGCCTCAATAATACTACTTATGGATTTTCTGTGTGTGTATGTGTGTCTACATCTATATTTACGTCTCTATATCTATCTTAGCATAATGCTCCACACATAACAGAAGCTCAATAAATGCTAGCTCTCACTATGATTATTCTCTTTTACAACTACAGAATGAAGCTTTCAGCACAGCAGAATTTCCTGTTACCTCGGCAGGCATGGGACTGCAAAGAATAGCAGCATCTTCAGGGACGCCATTTTCCATTCTTAACTGTAGGGCAAGCATGCAACATAAAATCTGTTCTGTCTCAAGCTTAGGGCCAGAATCTGGTTAAGGGGTAGAGGTTCCCCCACTTGCAGGTAAAGACAGTGGCTCAAAATTATGATCATGGCCTACCAATTTCTAAATTGTCCCTGAACAAGGCTTTTTCTAAACTTTTAAAATGGAGTTTCTTGAGGGTCCAATGTCAGCAAACATAATCCCCACTATGACTTATAGAATTACACAGCATCTATTTCAAACATTTCACTCTAGCATGGATGTTTCCTCACCTAGAAATGAGTTTAGTTAATTCAGCTTGAAAATTCTGTTGTTAAAAACCTTATGATTCCTGTGGGAGTGTCTTTTTTTATTGATAAGAGTTGTAGATGTACCTGGAAAAAAAAATGCGATTCTCTTCTACAAGCTGAAAAGATACAGCTGTCAAAGGTAATCATTGCATCAGAACAACAAAAGTGTCTTTGGCTGCTTTATGAGAAAAATAGCAAAGTAGCTTCTTTATGCTCAATGATAAGACAGACTTAGGAAAAGCCATAAAGTTTACATTTCTGCTACTTAGGTCACATTCCTTAATGTAGCTCCATACAAGCTGAATTCATTCTTACCTACAGGACTTCATCTGTGCTATCTGAAAAGACTCTCTTCTTGACCAAACTGCAGTCAGGCTTCTCTGGGCCCTGTTCTCCACTAGGCCTCAGCTTTGGGCTCTTTCCTTGGCCCATTAAGTCTAGTTATAGCAAGAATCCTGCAGAATCAGTTTACCAAAATCCCCTCATCTTTGGTATCTGATCAAATTTCTTATCCTCTACCCTCTGTAGGTTATCACCCTGACCTGCCTTCAATAAGAATCCCGCCATGACCAGAATCTTCCTTTTTCTCTTAGTAATTTCCCATCCACTGACATATAGCTCCTTGGCTATATATCCCCACTTGTCCTTGTTGTATTCAGAGTCAAACCCAATCTCTCTCCCCTTCTGCAAAACCCCCACTGCAGTAATCCCTCTTGAATAAACTCTTTCTTACAAAAAAAAGTATCATGAATAATTTTTCTTTAACTCTCTATCCTCCCTCCCACATTAATTTTCCCATTTTCCTCTTCTCCACTTTATTCATTTATTTATTCAAAAACACATTCATTCAGAAATAATTTATTGAGTCACTTATACATACATAACTGCTTGGCCCGACAGGATTACAGCTTAATAGGGATGATAAAAGGACATTAGGCCATGTTATTCTCCCCAGGAAAATCTCCTCTATTTTTTTTCCAATTCATAATTTCTTTTAGCTAGTGTTTTTATTTCATAACATTTTATATTATTTACTAATTGCCCTATATGGGTGCCTCTTCTTTTCCAAAATTATCTTTAGTTCTTTAAAGAGAATGATCTGGCTTAAGCAGCTACCTCTCTCTATCACTGAGCAGTATCTGGCTCCACTTCACCCACTTACACTCACCATGTGTTCTTCATCCAAGTCAAGCTGGTTTCTCTCTTTTCTCTGGGACAATTTGCTCTTTCTTTGTGTTCCGACTCACATTTGTAGGGTTAGTGAAATCTTAATTATCCTTTAAGATCCAGACTGAAATCTTTCTGTGGAATGATTTTTTAAACTCTCTCGCTCTCTCTAAACTCTATAGAAAACCTTATAAATGGTTGCTGAATCCATGAATACATACAGTGTCTATAACATTGTGTTATTGCTATCGTTGCTTATAATGCATTGTTTCTATACATTATATTATTTTCTCATTAGTTCATTTTACTCTTTCCAACTAGATTGAAGCTGCCACGTGAACAAAAGATGTATCTGCACCCCTTTCTCACAGTGCCTGGCCCAGTGCTGAATGTAGTATCCATCAATAAACAGATATCAAACACTAGTTGAAATTCGGTAAGTACCAAGAGATTGACAAAGTCATTACAGAAAGCTTGCTCTAACGACCTTCTTTCAAGTACAGAACTTTTACAGAATTATTATTCTCTAAAGGTACAAATGTGTCTCATTAATGCAGCAGATTTACTTTCAAAATAATTCTAACATTTCAGATCTTTACCTGAGCCTGCCATCCTCTGCTGCAGCACCTCCTGGTATAATCTTCGTAATAAATATGCCAGGATCATCTCCAATGTGGGGATTATCTGTCCCTCCAGCAATACTGAATCCCAGGCCAGAATTCCCCTGTAGAAACAACAAGCAGATATTAAATGATGTGGCTGTCACCTAAAACCTAGTTCTTTTTGCACTCTGCATTATCATGTTACCACTCAAATGGAAATCAGGTGATAACAGTCTTGTATTCAAAGCCATAAAGTGCACAGTCAGCAGACAAAGGAAGGACAGGAAAAACACTCAAGTTTGTCCCTGCACTGCAAGAATTTAAGAGGCATTACATTTTTGCTTTTAACAAATGATTCCCTTATGGAATCAATTTATGATTAAAAAGATCATTATGAAGTAAGAGATAAAAGTTTAGAAATTGTATAATATGAAAAAATTCAAAAAGTCATTAGAGTATCAGTGGTAAAAGTTATACATTCATATGAAAAAGAATAGAAAGAAACAAGTTGCATGAAAATATTTGATTTGATAGAATAGTGAAAACTGGGTGTTTTCATTTTGTTATTTCTGGTCTCATTCTAATATCACTTATTCATCTAATAAATGTGTTCCTTTGTAACAGGGAATTCTGACTTCAGAAGGCAGGGTCCTCTTCTCGAGTCATAAAACATGCGAGATACTTTTTAACAATAAACAGGCTTTAATTTGTAGTAGCAATGGAAAAGGCATGCAATACTGCCGCCACACATAAATTTGAGTAGCTTAGGTTCTAATAAAGCTTTCACACTTACTCCTATAGATTATATTAAGTGACATCTAATGTATACATATATCCTTCTAAAATTTGTATGTAAGGCACAATTCAAAGTGCCCCCAAAATCCACAAACCATCTTACTTAACATATTTCTTATTTATATATTCTCTTTTAATCCCCATCTCCATGGCTACATTATGTTTCCATAGTTGTGTTCTAATTTTTTTTTAATTCACATTATATTTTAAGCCCTTTCTGTATAGCTAGACCGTCTTTATAATTATCCATCTTCAACAGCTAAATAATGTTTCATCAAGGTCATATACCATCACTTATTTAACCAGTCCCCTGCCACTGGATATTTAATTTCTCCATATACTATTACAACAAATATGGCTTTCTAAATTTATGATCACTTGATTAAGTTCCACTCTTGGGTAAAAAGAGATGAGGACCAAGAATTTAGTAGTCAATCGAGAGAAATTAATTAGGACACTCAATTAGTCAGGAAAGTTCAATGTCAAGATAAGATCAGCTATCACTTGATAGTTACACCGCTCCAAATGTCGAGGTAAGATTTAGCAATTTTTATTGACGGAATTAATAAAACTGAATTACAGAGGGTTGTTTTCACAATTGTACATTTAAGTTGAAAGGTTGAAATAAATAATTTAGCCATGACAACTAAACTCCCATGTCTTTATACTTCTGACATCTCTAATTCTGCTTGCTCTTTGAAAAACTCCAATGTTCACTGAACAGAGATATTAGTTATTAGCAGTCATGTAATCATGAGTTTATTTAATATCTATTAAATACCAGCTCTGTGCCTGACACTAGACTAAGCTCTGGAGCTACAGCAGTACATATGTCAGTTTACGCGGCACATGAAGGAGAAGTGTGAAGTGTAGGAGTGGCTAAGAGGAGAACCAAACTTATTGCCTGAGTGGCATAGTAACCTAGAAGGAAGAACTCATGTAAAATCCCTGAGGCAAGAAAGGGTATGCCAGCTCCAAGAAACAGACAATAAGGTTGGAACAAAGAAAAAAAGAAAGAGAATTAGATGGGATGAGTCTTAATTATGAGGTTCATGAGAGCAGAGTATATGGGAATCCATTTTGGGTTTTAAGTATCTATTGCCACCAAAAGACTGTATCAGTATTAGTTGAGTATGTCGCATTTGACTGACTCCAAACTAAGGCTACAGAGATTAAGAACAGATGATTTCTGCCTTCATGGATATTCAAGCCACAACAGAAAAGGCAGTCATAGTCTGGCATCTGGTGATCAGCATATTTCATGTACTGTATAACCTTAACTACCTTTGCAAGTATGTAGCCATGAAGACAGCATTAAGGTGACTTATGAGGCAGTTCCCTAAGATCCAAATGTTTTGGAAGGAAAGGATGGTAAGATGAATATTTTCAATGTAATTTGAGTCAAGCTCTAGGAACATCAACTGGAGTATATTGGTCTTACTAGGGCTGGCATCTCAGGGACAATAATTTTTTGATTAATGGGGGTAGGGAAGGAAACAGCAGAGATTAGGAGATACTCAAATGCTTTCCTCCTAAAATGTCAATATGTTTGGAGAGGGTACTCAAATCTTTGTCATTTGAGAAAGATATTTATGATCTAGTTTTTACCTTTGTCTACTTTAGTTTTAGCTTCTCACTTTAGCCCCCAGCAACACTGAACTGAACTGCTGGCTCTTTCTTGAACAAATCACACTATAATTCATCTCTTGGCCTTTACTAATACTGTTTTCTCTACCAGAAACTTCCCATTTCCTCCTTGCCTAGCTTAATTCTTCCCATTTTCTAAGATATGGCTCAGATGGCATCTGTTCCAGGTAATGTTAAGTGATTGCCTAACTCCTCTTTGCATAGGTCACTCTTCTGTGTTTTTGTAGATTTCTATGCTTACTTATGCCATATATTGTGTTATTTTTTAGTTATCTATTTCTGAGTCTATCTTCCCTTCAAAGAGAGCTTGTAGAAGCTAGGAACTGTGTAATATTCGTCTCTGTTTCTTTGGTGCCTTGTCTGGCACACAGTATTGGCAATAAATATTTGATAAATAAATGAACTGAAAAACAAACCTTCTGAGAATGTTTGTGCCTGAAAAAAGACACAACAGAAGTCCACACTATGTTAAGGAATGCAATATAGAAGTAGAAGCCATTTTGCTCTGTGTGGCTACAGAAAAAATAGAAAGCTCAGGCATTTAAATTGTGGCTCAGCTGAAGGATAAATGATGAGATACTACTGTTCAAACTCGGGATGTACTCCTTTGGCAGAGATGGAAGACCCTTCACTCAAGGGGTAGCTGGCTAATCACTGGGCATGAGGGCCCAAGTATCTATTAAGAGGTTACAGTGGACGACTTTAAACAATTTTGGGGGGACTCTGGCTAAACATATGAAAACTGCTCTTGTTAACAGAGAAAAAAATGCCTTAGGAATCTTTAGTGGGGGAAGTAGGTCACTGTTGCATTTTTAAAACTTATCCTGTGACTCAACATATCTTTGAAGTAATGGTTTTGATAACTGCCTAGCAACATTTAATCACTATTTTTAGAATTGACTAAAATATGAACAAAATGGTGGCTCTAGCATTTCCTAATATATATTCCCCTGTCCCCACTCTGAGGAAAAGGATGAATGGATTAGGGAATCCACAGTGGAAAGAAGTAGGTAGAGACAGTGTTATGTGCCCCGTGTTTCTGATCCCAAAGGATTCCTGAAAGCTTTTGTGTTTCAGTAAAAACCAGTTTGCCAGCTGGGTCTGGCCAGTCACCATGATTCTTTAGGAGAGGTTCATCTGACTTCACCTAAGGAAATGATTTAAAGTCCTTTCCAACCTCCACTTATTATTCTCTTCCAGCCTTCCCTTTTTAGGTCTTTGTTACCAGCCAGCAACATTTAGTGGAGAGAGAGACAGATGAAAAAGCATCAGTGAAATTGTTGCCTGCTGCTCTCCACGGCTGAATCACTTAGTCCCTTGACAACCATCCAGAGCCTGCCAGCTGCAGGGACAGATCTCAGCTCCTCTCTCCTCAGAGCAGTGATCTTTCCACGTGAACAGGAAGACACCCGGGTGATAGTTTTAGATGCTGAAAATTGTGACTAATTAACTGTGTGTTGATCCTTGACACAACCCATGGAGACTTTGAGGTGCCATGCTGATAAGGGCAGCCCTGTACAGGTTCTGGGGGGGGTTGTTATGTCCTTGCAGTTGGGCATATTCCATGACTGACGAATGTCACTGGCATGGACCATTCTTTCTTCTGGTTCCTAATCCTCCACATTTGTTGATTCTCCCCCAGAAGCACAAGCCCATTGTCCAGCAAAATGGCACTTTCTGTTTCACATGCTACATACCATATCCTCTCAGAAAAAGAATCAGCAAAAAGGAAAGACACTTTACCATTTAACTGATGGTTGCCTATGTTTTAAATACAATGTTCCCAGGAAAGCTTCTCTTTTATTAAAAGTTTATTCCCCAAGTGAAAATTACTCCCAAAATGGGGTTATAAAATACGAGGAAAATAAGTATTGATATCATAATTACATGCATTTATATAGTGTTCTACTGACAAAGAATTTTTTTGATTTTTAGAATTTAAGTTCTACCTTAAAATACTGTTTCATATATAATTCAATTCTAGGGATTTATTCTAAACATATAATCAGAGATGAGTGCAAAGATTTGTGTTCAAAGGTTTGTTGCAGCATCGTTTTTCTAATAAAAAAAGGAAAACAAACATGTATAGAACAGGGAAAAGGTTAAAAATACTGTGGTACATCAATCTGAATGTTGGGATATTTTGTAGTCATTAAAACTGTAATGCCATTAATAACAATGGAAAATATTTATTATATAAATGTGAGAGAAAAAAGTATATGAAATTTTAGTTACAGTATGATTGCCACTGAAAATAATCAAAGAAAAATGACTTATTTTTAATAAAAATTATTAATTTTAATTAATAATAGTAAAATTGCTTAAGTAATTTAAGCTATCTAAGAAGGGGACTTTTACAAAAATTTTAAAGTCCCTAGTAAAATACTAAAAATATGCTCCAAGGAACTAACATTTACTGCATGTTTATTCTTTGGTAAACAGTGATCCAGGTTTCTTACAACCCCCTATCTGGTAGATAGTATTATCCTCTTCTCATATATTAAAAACAAAAACAAATGATAAGCAAACAAAAAATACTGAGGCTGAGAAGAGTAAAATATGAATATAAAGCAAGTTAATAGTGGATTTCAGATTCAAAACCAGATTTTTCAGGCTCCAAATGCTATTTTCTTTCCATTATATCACATTGCTTCTTCTGAGTTCAAAAGATCATTTGCTG